AGAATGTCAGCACCAAGCCAGACACACATACATTACCGCGGTGCCGAAAATCGGGCAGCATTTAGTCAGGACGTTTGCCAAGCATAACAGGTTGCCGTAATGATTGTGAGTACACAAATCAAAGGCATGATTGAAGATGTCCTTGGAACCATTCGATGGTAATTTCATTTACAATCCAGCGCGTAGACCGGCTTTACATCTCGTTCAACGCACCTGCTCTTTCAAGCGTACTGAATGGCCAGCAGAGCATACCAACTGTTTTCAGCCAGGTCAATGAACTTCTTTGGCGGAGAGGTTCAGGTAAGTGGCTCGACACCGGCGCCAATCCACGGCTCACGCCATGCGGGTTCACAGCACGAACTTCGAGGCTTTCCCAATACGCAGCATTGGGCGTATGTTCAACGCGCGTAGGAATGACCCCCGCATAGCGGCGCGACGTTCTCAGCAAATGCAAATTAGCCTACGAACACAGATGCATACATACAAATCAGAAGCTTGACGGATTATCGGAGGAAAGCTTAACAGACTATGGCGAAGATGGCCTTGACTGCGTTAGACGTCCATACATAGCCTGGCTTACACACCCGCTGTGTTGCACAACACCAGCTGGCGCGAGGACAGCCACTGTATCGCAGCACGGCAGAAGCGAAGCTTGCCTAATTGTCACGGATGGTATATTTACGGACCATGTTCGCCATATATCGATAGGACAATTGCCTGATGACGATATTTCAGGTGAAGGGCGGCTATGACAACCTCTCTTCCGACCTGACCATGACAACAGGCGGGGGAAAATACTAATTTTGCACATGCCAACGTAACTGTAGTTCTTCACAAACGCCACCGCCAAAGGAACATCTGTGACGTACCAGAGAGTGGAAAAAACGTGCAGAAAGCATAACATCTCCGTGCACATGCTCATGCCTTGCACACCGGCGCCTCAGCCACTCGTGCACGGCGTCTGCCCTCCACACCCGCTCGGGGTGTCTGCTGCGGGAGAGCCGGTCCGGTGCCGGCGTCCGTCTTCATCCCACGTGCACGCCCGAGCGGACGCGACGATCTCCCAGTGCAGCCGCACCCGGCCGTGAGCCGGGCATACATAGCCGGACGATGACATCAGGGCGCCGGCCGGTCACGCCAGCTCTCGCGGCCCGGTCGCCGCCGCCGCCGCCGCCGTCACCACGCGCCCGGACTGACACGGCTGCCGAGGCTCGCTGGTCGTCACGACCGGCGTCGGCGTCCAGGTCAGGTGATCCGCACAGGTACCAGCCTTCACACCAGCTCGCCAGAGATCTCAGGCGTGCACCAGCCCTCACGCTAGCCGCCCGGGAGCTCAGGCATGGACAAAGGTTCAGGCATGGGCCCTTATCATCATGAGCCCTTGTATTGGTCGCCAAGGATCACGAACGTGGATCGCCGCCCTGCTCGCCGCCACAAACCACGGACATGAGATCCGCCATCGTGTTCCGTTAAGGGATTCTCAGGATGTTAGCCCGCCACGGATCACCGACGTGACACCAGTCCACCTGCCAACCGCTCGAGGTAACCCCTTTGGCGTCCGTCTCCACCTCAGCGACCAGCGAGCGGTCCTCCACCAGTCAGCCATCGGTCAGCCATCGGTCAGCCATCGCAACAGTCAGCCGTAGATCAGCCATCGAAGCGGCCTGCCACCGGTCACCCATCGGAACGGTCCGCCATCGGTCAGCCGTCGGTCAGCCATCGGAGTGGCCAGCCATCAGTCATCCATCGGAGCGGTCAGCCATCGGTCAGCCACATCGCGTCCGACCCGTGGCGCTCGGGCACCATCGTTTTATAAATGCAAAGTTGGAAGAGGTCGACAAACGCACAGGCGGTCGACGCGCCAGCTCGGAAGGTGGCCGCAATGGTGGTGACGAACAGCGGACTGAGCGATAGAGTGATTCTGCGGAGGCACAACGCCTGACAGATAACGGCTCGGCTTATGTCTGCCGCGACCATTGCGGTCGCTGCCGGCATAAGAGGAAAAGGACAGGCGACAAGCAGCTCAAAACGTCGTCCGAAGGGAAAAAGGACCACGTCAATGACGTTTGCAGCAAAGCCTTTTCTTTCCACAGTGGGGCAGCGCATGCTAAGAGATTTGCATGGTGTCCCTTCTCATTCCAAGGTAAAGGAAGGCACATCACAGCAAGTTTTTCATGGGGCGATTTGACCAAATGCAAACGAGTGATAACTTCATAGATGACAGCTTGATTGCTCACAAAGGGAACAAATAGTGAGCACTATCACATAAGCCCATCTCGAGAGCGACAAAAACAATTCGCATATTTAACCAAGCGCACGTCATTCCAAGCAGAATGGTTAGTGCAGATCTGTCGTCGCAAACATCTATCAGTGCGTGTATTCTTTCCACATGCAGCAAACGCGTGCAACTTGAAATATACATGTTTCATGCCAGAAAATATGCCATGCTATAACGTAACGCACATTACTGTATGCGGCGGCAAGGAAGTCGTATAGCACCGTAAGCTGATTAGTATTACCATTTAAACAATGGCTCACCCAAACTCGCATTTAACGACAACGCACGACCATAATCCAGCGTTATTCGCATTCCGGCAAATGCGCACCTAAGCTGTTTGGTTTTGACCCTTGCATCAAAGATGACCCACAGAAGAAAATATGTTATGAGACAATTATCAGCAATCCTGAACAGCGCACAACGTAGCACACGAGACAAACACAGGAATAACCGCAACGAGATAAGAGAGAAGAACGAAGAGGAATGACAGCAAGTCAGACCCCGTTGTAGTGTTCCACAAATATAATTCCGCCCTCTTCATCCCATAACCGAGATAGAGACCATTCGAAATCAATTGGTCAAAGCTACGGGCAGATACCATATCTTCCTCTGATTGCCGTGACGCCCTTTTCGCCCGGAATTTGCTCTACGCAAACTAAAAAAGTCGGCAAAGCTTTAGCTTTCACATCGGACCTACGGAAGAGGCCACATTATGGGTGTATTTCGGAACAAGGTAGCACCTCAGGTCATGCTTTTGAAGAGGTATAACTGAACACGAGAGACAAAACATCCCATCGTTCGTTGTTCGGCAGTCTCTGGAGTTAAAACAACGCTATTTGAAACCACAATCTTCGTGTCGGGGTAAAAGGAGACAGTCTAAGATTACAAACATTCCCAAAATGGCAAAGGAAATACCACGGACGCATACAGTATGAAATGAAAAGTTTTCACTGGCGCAATATCTGTATTCGGAGCTTGCGACAGCGCTCAAACAAGTGATGCGAGCGGGCCCAGCGGCAGCCCGATGGTGCCGCGTCTCGGCAGCAACGCTGCACCTACACATCTCCATCGAGGGCAGCAGCCCGATCGGCCGCGGGGAGGGGGGGGGGGGGAGGGCCGGTCCCGGCGGAGCCACCACTGCCGCCCGTGCTGTCCCCAGCTCGGCCGAGCCGCCTCGATGTCCTGCCAGTGGTGCCGGCCGACCACCGCTCGCCGCGCGGCGCACTGAACGAGCCCGCGACCCTGGGTCATCTGGGTCAGGCGGCGTGTGCGTCCACGCCGCGCAGCACGCGCCGCCGCCGGGGGCCGCCGGCTAATCACCGGTTCAGCCGAGGTTCGGGGGTGACCGCGTCCAATGCGCGTTTTCGTGACTTTTACATTCCAATTTCGTGATGCACGCCGCGTCACGATCCGGTGGCTTGCGGCGGCGGCGGCGCGACCACCGTAATACGCCCGCCAACTTAGGAACAAACACGCCCCGCGCTCGCGCGTCAGCCGTGAACTTTGCGACGGCCGTCTGGTTGCGAGCCGGAGGTGACGAACGCCTGCCGCGCTCGCGGCCGCTGATCGCCGCGGCCAAATCCTCGCCAAGGCGAACCACGACTCATCCCCGGTGATCCTTGGCAGCGAGCGAGCCCGGAGCCCGGAGCGAGCTCCGGACTTGCGGTTCCGCTCGCAACGCGGCGGCGGCCCCAAGCGACGGCGGCCTGTCGACGAGCGACACCCCGCCGCGACCGCATCCCTGTCCGGCATGACCGTCGGACTCGACGGACACCACGGCGACCTCACGTTCCAGCAGAACAAACGAGACACAGACTCTGTCCGGACTTCAGCCGGCTGTTTCGCCGGCTGTTCGACTGTGAGAACCGGGGGCTCTGGCCGATCTCGGTGTGAGAGCACCAGGCTGTCCCACTGTGAGAACCGGGGGCTCGGGCCGATCTCGGTGTGAGAGCCGGCCGGTTCGTCCGCCCGAAAGCGGCAGGGAGGCAGGACACACCGGCGCGGTCACACCAGAAATGCCGCTCGCCAGGCCCCGGCACCGGCAGGGACGACCAGCGCTCAAGGCTATTCAAGACAGGCGCGCCGCTGTCAAATGCGCCGCCACATTAGACTGGGCTGTGCCGCGCGGTGCAGCTGACGTTAGCCGACTCTACGGCAAACCGGCGACACGGCGCAGCTTCACAAGACGTCTAAGGTCTCCAAGCGATTGAAGACACCAAGGCTGCACCCCAAATCGGCGTATCTTAAAGCAAAACAGTCCGCTTTAATCTGGTGTGCAGTTTCGCATTCCGAGAAGGAATGTCAACTGCCATGCACTGTCAAAGTCTGCACTGGCTACTCTTGTCCACGGAGCGCCTTTCTGCAGCCTTGAGCTCACCGTAAACGCGGTGTGATAACAACGCATCCGATTCAGCAGAGGTTGTCGGTGCTGCGGAACTAGTAAGAAGACAAGACCACGTCCGAGAGCTTCCATACGCACTGATGAACCTATTGATACCTGGCCACCGGTCAGGCCTGGTGTAGACCTCCTAGGGTCCTCCTGGGTTCCCAGACGTGGCCAACATCCACATGTCAGGTCGCGGAATCCTCAGCCCAAACATGGACTCGCGGCCGCGGCGCCGACTCCGCAGCCGTGCGCCGCGGACTCACCAGCTGGCGGACGTGGGCGCGCTGGGACTCGGCGGCGGCGAGCAGCTGGGCCGACAGCGCCGCCTGGCGCAACTGCAGCTGGCCGTGCAGCTGGCTGAAGTGGTCGTGGATGGTATCCAGCAGGCACGCGGGGTCAAGCGTGTCCGCCGCCGGCGCCGCACGCAGGCTCTGCAACGGCGAAGGGCGGGTCGCGTCAGGGCAGGGTCCCGATCAGAGGTCCCCAACACCGACGACGAGGCGGCAACGATACAGGGACGCGAGCGTGCTTGCTGCGAGGGGCTATTTGGTGCCCTCTTCCGTCCCGGCGCCTAGCCCATCGCGGCTCAGCAGTCGGCATGTAAGCGCCTCGCACGATGCTTCATAGCTCAGGTCTTGATGAGCGAAGCGTCAGCGGCGAGCCATCAAATGAGGAGGTGGCAAACGTGGCCGGAGGATGGCTTTTGCCACCAAGGGCCGCATTTCAGAGTCTCGAAGGACCTGTTCCGGCCGAACCGTAACATTCCCCGACGACGGCGGCCCGGTGCTTCGCAGCAGGGAACTCGCCGGGCCCGGATTCCCGGCCGAACAAACAGCGGCTGCGGCCAATTCCAGCACGCCTGTTGTGCGGCAATGCAGTCGCCGGGGGCGTGCGCGCGTGCCGTGTCCAGACCCGATTACAAAGCGGCGGCGCCGCCCCGTCACCCGACCAAGTGATTCCGAATGCGATGCCACTGTGGATTACATGTGAAAATATGACGGTAAGCAGGCAGCAATGTCTGCAATCAGTTTAACTCGAGAGAATGCTGGGAGAGGCTATAGAAGGTCAAAAAATAAAGCGGGCACGCTGGCGCAGCGTGAAAATGTGGTCAAGGGATGCTTGAAAGGTCTTGCAAAACGTGTGCAGCGCAGCATCAACCGCCTAATATCACGGCTAGCACCATAATCGGTTGGTACGTGCATCACATCGCAAGGTCATTCATGACAGAATTCCCGCGGACTGGGGCTCACATGGTATGTATGGGAGCTGTTTTGCCCACAGTGGAACTGCCACTGGCCGCTTCCGGCAAAGGAAGCCATTAGACCGAACAGCATAGGTGGAGTTGCCGGTTCGTTGTCGAGCCACGACGAAGAAGTGTAGCTGGTTGAAAGCAGCCCAAGCATTTGGCGCTCCAAACAAAAAGCCTGACGTGTAGCAATCCCAACAGTCGCTACAGCCAAGAAAACCTCTCATGCCTCAACCCCAGCTGTAAAACGCATGTGATACATGAAGATGAGACAACGAACGAAAAAGACCGAAAAAGCGATGCCAAAGTCTAAGGATCGCCTGCTTCTCCGAACATTAGCCGAAGAGGTTATTTTGGGCCCGTTTTAAAAAAGCTGTATGACAGAACAGCGGTACATCTGTGATACATGAAGATGAGACGACGAAAGAAAAAAGACGAAAAGCGATTCCAAGTCTAAGGATAGCTGCTTCTCCGAACATAAGCCGAAGAAGATATTTTGAGCCCGTTTTAAAAAGCTGTACACAGAAAAAGCGGCCCACCTGAGACAGATCGGCTGTCAGCGGCCCGTGTGCAGTCGCAGGGTCGGGCCATAAATCACGCCCCCAACACCCCGACCACTGGAGCCACCGCTCGGCCCGGCCAGCCACGTGCAAGCCCCGGCCGAACGTCATCGGACCGGGCCGCCGGTGTGTCGCCGCAACCCGCTGCGGCTGCGATCATCACCCTGTCCCAGACTCCGCCGTGCCGGAAATGGCGGCCGGCGTCCCGCGCCCGGCCGAGGGCAGGTCTTAGGTCGAGGCAGGTCTGAAGGAGCGGGAGGGGCGTCGGCCAACACGGCCAACACGCCCCACCAATGCGCCAGGAACGCGAGGTCGCCCGACTGTGCGGCACTGCAACAACAGCGACGCACGGCGCGCCGACGACGACAAACTGGCGACACGGTTCGCGGAAGGCAGTCGACCACCGCCGGGACTTCGTTAGCCATCACAGGGCAAATTTCGCGGCGCGCCGGCGTCCAGGGTCCGGGAGGGCATCCCGTTGCGTTCATCGGCGTGTTGAAACGTGACCCGCAGGAAACAGCGTGTGACAATTTCGCCACTATTTCGACCCGGAGGGCCGGGGCGCGGCGCCACAGTCCGCAATCAAGTGGAGATTGGAGCCGACGGAATCAAACGCACCTGGCCACGCACGAGCTGCTTGTTAAATATCCCGGCAATAACAGCCATTGTGACACATCACCCGAGCTCGATTGACTGGGCGTAATGGGTGTCGGGAGGACATTATTTCACGGGTGGTTACTAACATACGTAGATTGCCAAGTTGGAGCAGCCGCGTTTTTAGATGCGCAGAGTGCGTTCAGATATATTAACACTTCAACAGAACAGAAACAACAGCTATTGGGCAATGATTCGATATCCATGACAATGCGGATGATATTAACAATCCACCGATCTGAAGCCAGGGGGCGTCCGCCTCCAGTGAGGAATGCTGCTATCACACCCATAACGGGCCTGCATTTTAATTTGTAAAAAATCGAGCCACTGACATCAGGCATTCAAGGTCAATGGAAGGCTCATCAGGCTTACCAAGTGTGGAAAAAAGCGGGAGATGGCGACGACGACCGGCGGACGGAGGAACAGCCGGCTAGGCAAAAACCGTTGTCCAACTGGCATCTATCCCGGCCTGAGACGCGACGCGGAGACAACGGTACTGGTAAGACAGTTGGTCGTTTGTTCATGGCAATACAAGCATGCACAGCTTACTGTGATGAATTGTCAATCCAGACACATTTCAAGAAATGCTGCCGCCCCAAATCAACCAAAGCCTTGATCTAGGAAACCGTCTCCTGCAAGAAAAATACAATAGTCTGCTCCACAGGTGGCTACCCCGACGGGGTGGCGAGGAAATGAGGACAACTGTTTTATAGGTGTTTCAGGCGTACAACTCTGTGGAGCTTTGACGACTTCACAGCAGCAAGAAGTTCTCTGAGGTCATGGCTTTTGGTACTATGAGTTCAGTTGATCTTTGTTGCCCTTTATATTACTGTCAGCATAAGCAGTCCGAACTCGTATTAAGCTGTAACAGTTTAAGAAAGACGTCGAGATGCGGTCACGCAATGTCGACAAAAGAAGCGGCTTGTTGAGCATTAGTTCTGTGCTATGTCCCGAAAAGACATGTACACGATATATATATATATATATATATATATATTATATCGTGTCCAATAATAAGTGGAAGTGAAGGTTAAGATGAACAGAAATCTGCCAGAAGAGGCCCAGTCTTTCGATGAGAAACGTGGACACGTAATGGTCAATCTGAGTGGCCTTTTTTCGTCAGCAGTCGCAAGCACAAGCAGGAATCGAGTTTTGTTGTATAGTGTAATGATGTGCGTTGACGTGCGACGTTCCTAACCTGATTGTGTGTGTGTAGTATATTGCAGCATTCTGGGTGCAAGTGAGAGGCATGGTGATGATTTAGTATGTTTAGTAGAGCCAAATGCTGCTTCTAAGCTAGAATGAGTCAGTTCTTAGGCTGACAGTATTCAATTTTTAGCATGCCTGGAAGTAACTAGTTAAGCAACGTCATCAAACAAATATTCGCTATATTGTCCTCACTAAAGTTTCAAGTGTGATGATCAGTGATCGTAAACACAACATGAAAAATCGCGCATTGGCTAACTGGTGCCTCCTTGATAAAGTCGTTTAGCAGTGTCTCGCGGTATAATGAAGGTTGATAACCCGTCAGAAGAAGAACTCAGAACACATAATGCCGGAGAACCCGAAGCGCAAGGCACGTCTCATCTATACCAAGTTTTTGGCCAATTTTGTCACGTGAATGGATTGAAGAAAGCCAAGGGGGTCCCAATTCGTGACGTTTTTCGAATGAATTACCACTGGAAGTTGAAAAATCTGGAGTAAGGCAGCGTCATCAGCCGGCATTTCTCCGCGGTCGTCCTGTGAAATCCCAATCGCGATGTCTGCCAGGATGACGACATCGCACCCATGAGAAGCGACGCCACCTACACGATCTGACCTCGGCAGGAGGAGCGACCGCAGCCGCCTCATGACATCACGCCCGTCATAAGACACCCGGCAGTGTGACGCCACGGCTGATGACGTCCACCCGTGACCGGCCGCCGTCACGTCCCGGCGTTCAGGGGAGCATCGCTTCGCGGTCAGATCGCCGTTCCACCGGCGGCCGGGCCAGGCATTTGGACGCGCGTCACGGTCGCCATTAGAGTTGCCACTTTTGAGCACGCAGGCCCGCGAAGCGTGCAGAAATAACCACGCAGACCGCAATACGACGGGCTTGAGGGCTTTTAGAACATAACTTTAACATAATTATTACAAAATTAATTATTTTATTGAATTGTGGCACTAAAGGCCAATCCTACGAGCAAATAACTTGGTAGTAGGGTGACATACAATGCGTGAAGTGGCTGATAAACCAGTGTAGTTTTACAACTAACCAATAGTAATGACAAAGCATCACGTGCTCTTCAGAGCTTAACCATATACGAATCATCAATGACTTTTGACTTCTACTACAAACATGCAGATACAGTGGCTGACGAAGGACAATCAGACGCAGCAGTCAGGCAGAACAACAAAACCCAAAGGGTAGGCAGTTCGTGAAAACAGCATGTCTGAGCTGGTAATAACATCTTAAAACAGGTGTATTCTAGGTAAACATATTGAGCTAAAGCTCAAATGAAAATCCTTATGCGTCTTGCTCTTGCAGCATCAAATGCGTTTGTCAAGCTCAGCGCCTTAATCGTTCCTATTAGGCATCACGACTGTCTTGGGCTCTGTCGTCTTGGGGTTTTACGACGCACTCAGTTGCTGAGGTTATATGGCACAGGTGCTAGGTACTAAATAGCCAACTGGGTCTTCAAATCCGCGTCACATCTTTATCTGATCGGACCATACCTTACAATAAGCCTTTTCAACCAGGCCTCCACATCGATAACTCAATTAAGAAATAAATAAATCAATCAACAAATCAAATCCAAAACTTGTTAAGCTCCTTCAATTCGCGAAATAGATGGCAGACATTCTGCACCCCGAGGTGCACGGCAAACCATTCCAGATTCTCGTACTTTTGACTTTCATGCGTCATTATCATGGATGTCGGTACAATTATACAGCATTTTCCCCCACATCTCTCCACACATTGTTAGTGGTT